ATTAATACTTTATATAGCTTATGAAAATGAACTGGATCATCACCAATTCCTAAATCAAAACTGATTCTTGTAGATATACCACGTTATTATTAGTAATAACAAACTTTCTTTGTTTTTGAGACTTTCTTAATGTTGATTGTTGTGGTTCATCTACTGTAGGTTCATTAATGATAGTTTCATTAATGTGGATCGTTGGTTGTTCACTTGTTTCTCTCATAGATTGTTGAAATGTCCAACAACTAAAGGAACTACAACTTTAGTAGATGTTGAAGGTATAGGAACCAGTAGTCTAATTTCTTGAATTCTCACATTACGTGGTCCTTCACTTCCACTAACTTTGCCATCTTCAACGAACCTAACGTTTCTAGATTCAATAATTCTCATACTATGACTAGGACAATAAAATATATAGCCTTTAACTAATGAAAAAGCCACTGAATCAATTTCTTTTCATGAGGGTTATAAATTCTCACATCCTCCAAGCAATCGTAAACATGAAGGTGCCTTAAGTTGGGTTTCCTTCTAGTCCAAAAATCAAAAGGAGTTTTTGGGATTACTTTACTAAGAACCCTATTTAACAAATACATGGTTGTTTTTAAGACGTGTCCACAATGATAAGGGTAATGATGAATTTATCATCATGCTCCTAGCCATTTCTAGTAAAGTACGATTACGCCTTTCAACTACATCATTTTGTTTAGTATGCTTGGCATTGTGTATTGAGCACAAATGTTAGATTATTCGAAGAATTTGGCAAATGGACTTGAATATTGCTGTGTTTGTGATTAACTAGCATGAATAATTTATTGTTCAAATGTTTGCGCACAATTTACATAATTAGTTGCTTATTTATGATGTTGGAAGACTCACAATAAGTAGCACACTTCATATTTGACACTTGGGCAATAGATATTATGAATAATGTTTATAGCGTGTGCAATCTTGTGTGATAATCGTGTGATTGAATGCTTGTTTTGCATATGAATTCGGACAAGGAATATGATTGGATCGTGCTAAGTATATGTTTAATATATTTTGAAAAATAATATTAGATATTAATGAATTATCGATTGTCATAAACACTCTGATGATACTAACTTACATTAGTCGAGAATTGGAAATAAACATTAATTGGTAGAATCGAAAGTCCAATACATTCATCTTATTATTTGATTAAAACCATTTGTTAAAGTAGTTTTATAGTAATTTTGGATAATCACAAAACAAACAAACATCTTATGTTACGATTGATCGAGTTTAATTATAACTAGTACACTATAGTTTAACACTATTTCTCGTGGGACAATATACGTACTCAATATGTATTACTTATCAACAATTTCATATTCTTGCGAAATTTTTACCGAACATGAATGAATGAAATTTAGATAGATGATAGAAGGATGACATTCTCTAAAAGTGAGTGAGCAACATGTAATTTTTTATTTTCAAGTGAATAAGTAATAACTAAAGATAAATGTTGATGATTAATCTTCCTCATCGTTTTTACTTATTGCCCAAATCTTTCATATTGTTTTAGACCTGATATTTGCACCCTTATTTCAACATTTTCTTGTAAAGTTGGTCATTTTCATCTCATTTCGTCAACTCATTTTGTCAATTATTCGTATTTGTCTTCATTGCGCAAATCATCCATATTGTTTCAATTTTAATATTTAAGCCCATAGTTCGACCTTTTTGAGCAAAATGACCTTATTGTGCATTTTCTATATTAAAGCATTATAAAATGACTATTTTACTCTCCTCTTTAAATAAATCAATAGAATAAAAATAAAGAATAAAAAATAATACTAATAACAGCTAAAGTTCCAAGTTTTTAAAAAAGTACAAACGATGATCACATAAAATACTTTAAAACATATTTACTAACAAAGAAAAATATTTCATCTTCTCAATTAATCTCACCTACGCCTTCCCCTACTTGCATCCCCTACACTCCACCACCAATAAAATTATTAAAAATTGAATTTAAAGAATAAAAAAAAAAGTAAGAAAGAATTTAATTCTTTATAAAGATAACCATCTTAATAAATAAGACAACCATCTTAATAAATAAATACATGGACCATAAATATTTAGACTGTTTAATATTCTCCCACTTGGCCTATGTGTCATAATTTAATATCATGGTTTAATAATAAAATGTAATATGCATAGTATAAGTTATATCCATTATTATATTGATCAAACCATAAATCGTCATTAAGCAGAAATCTAACAAGGATCATGGCGGTTATATATAATTAGTTCGACATAATCCCTTCTATGTATTACGATATTAATTAATATGACTAGCAATGAGATTTATCATAATGGTTTGACAATAATGTTTTCGTTAGAAACAACTTTCAGTTATGTTACGGGCCTGTGTCAGACCCGCCACCTCGCCCACCACGTGTTCGCCCACGTGGCCCACGCCACGCGTCGACCGAGGTGATTGTACAGGGACGAGCTGATTGTACATGCCGGGGCGATTACCTGAGGAACGC